GCATCAGTGTGAAGTCGAAATGTCGTTTGTTACCTTCACTAAGCGGTCTCAGTGCTGTGGTGGGGTCTAAACCCAGACTGGAACCATAACAAAAGAATTATTCATTGTTAAACTTTCAGTAAGTTTTGGGAGCCACTTTTTCAAGATTTTTTCCAATGAATGGCAGATTCGATATGGGGCGATAATTTTGAAGTCCCGCAGGATCCAGACTGCTCTTTTTAGGAAGGTCTTATGACTGCTGCTTTATATGGCCATAGGAACTGTTTCCCTGACGACAGAGACATGATACTATTTGTGTCAGTGAAGGTAACAAACTGCTCAGCGGACTTCAGATATTTAAGAGGGCAATAAATCCAGGCTACATGTGAGGACTTCAGACTCATATTATCTTTTGACAGTTTCAGTATCCACAGTGCAAAGTGAGTTATCTCAAAAATCTTCTCAGGCTGTTGCATGTTTATACCGTGCTGGGAGGTGATAGTGTTTTTGATCCTGAACTTTGTCATCGGAAAAACTGTGCGAACTCATTACACCTAGATTTTAGAGGAAAATTCTAGGGGCAACATAACAGGGGGTACATAATCTACCAACTGTTGAAAACATACCACGAAAATTGTTACTGCAACCTCCAATAATGTCAGAAAATACATTTTCTCTTGTTCTTCGTAGAACCTTAAATTCACCCAACTCATCTTTAAGATTCAAATCGCCCTGGAAATTGGACTTTCGCCACTTTCCGTTCGGCCCTCCGGGTGCAACTCTTGCTTCTGTGCCCTGAACCGAATCTCCTTAGTCCATGGGCCATTTTTCTTACTGGTAACTATTTAACCGTCTCCGGAGCAATGGCGTCCAAACATTTCAGAACACAGGTGGGTGACAGAGTTATACAATTCCATCAACAGTAGAGCATGGAGTTGATTCTCAAAATTTAGCATTCCATGACAGTTCACCTGTGTTTCATGTAGTGTCCTTCTTCAGCAATTGTAAATTCAGCTGGTGGTTTGCCTAGCACAACAGGCTCGTCATAAATATAACAGCGACATAGTAATAACGAGAGACTGAATAGTTGCAATTTGATCACTAGTGACTATATCTCATGAAGCTTATGAGAAGAAAAAAGCTTAAGTTTATGAATTGTTCTGTTTAAAAACTACAATTTTATCAAGTAATATATTATTGGCCAAGTATTCATGGGAACTCAAAACAATAGTAGTGGCATGCAATGATGTGACCGCAACACTGTGTTCCATGCCATTCTAGAAAAGCATCAAAGCATATATAGTATTGTGTTAGCCCACTTGACACAATGTGAATCTTAACTTTATTCAGATTATTTCCACTCTTTGACATAGAGCAAAATAAGAGAGGCCTTTTGAGGAGAAAACCTTACATTAGTCTATTGTACATTCACCTCAATTACCACCTCAAATGTTACAGCTTCCTTGGGGGAAAGCAGAGAGAGTTTGTAGCTGCCATTCTGTCCGCGTACTTAACACCTGTACATAACACACATCAGGAGTGAAGTGTCTTGCCCAACGACACAACCACATGCAGTGATAGAAAAACTTATCCCTACTGCAACTCAAAAACGGGTCATCAGACAGCATTCGTTCTTACTTAAAATTATTGGTTTTTAGCTCAAGCCCCGTTTCCACCAGCCCTACTTGTCTCTACTCTAGTCTACCCAAATTTGGAGCAGGTTTGGAGCAGGTTTGGAGTAGAGTCGAGCCAAGACAATAGATCAAAATGCATACAAACAGATGATAAATGCTCTAACTCTGCCCCGAGAGGGAGTGTTTCCATCGAACTGACCAAGTACTTTTTTAGTGCCTACTTTTCCCTTGTTCAATCCGGGATAAGCTGGTACTAGGCAAGGCATGTTTATAGCACAATTCATACACAAGGCAACTCAACGTGCTGAACAAAATAAGATTAAAATCATACATAATCACAGTACATTAAAAAGAAAGGTTAAAAAGAAAGGTTAAAATCCCTCAGTTGTATGCAACAGAACTGTTTTAAACTGGTTTAAACATTGTCAGAGAGGAGGCCTGTCTCACACTTTCAGGAAGATTGTTCCAGATTTCAGCTGCATACTTTGGTGCAAGGCCATGGAGAGACTTGCAACAAACAGAGCTGCTTTAAAGTCTTTTCTCTGAGCCACAAGAAACCAGTGCAAAGACCTGAGACTGGACTAATGTGATCATACTTCCTGGTTACTAAGTGTTACTAACCGACGGTGATTGACCCATAGTGCTATTGGAAGCCATGGTTAACAAGGACATTCTGGACACTGGTTTGCTGTGGGTATAAGCTGCAGTACCGGATGCAGACGTGTAGAGGGCAGTAAACAGGTACAGGCCACAAGCAAAAGTATTTAACGTCATGTGCCTTGTGCGTGTGTAGGGGACGTAATGTAGACCCAGATAGAGTAGAGCCGAGTGGAGTAGAGTATAGGGGCCCAGTGGGGGTGGTGGAAACAGGGCTTAAGTAATACATTATGTTGTGACTTTATGGATTTAGTCTGAGAGCAGAGTAGACACACGGAAAAATCAGGACTTAGCAGGGCATTCAATCCTCAGCCCGGTGAGTCACATGTTTGTTATTATTATCATTATTGTTATTATGTCAATTCTTCTGATAACAGCCAATCATTCTGTTATCTCTGCAAAGCAATTACTGTTGTCTGAGGTCATTTTTTGTTTGGAGGAATCGAAATAAAAGAGCAATTATGTGGCTGAAAAGTGCTACATAAAATCGATGTATTGTTATCATTATTATTATTATTAATGTGTTGTCATGGTGAATAGTATTCACTGAATACATTATGCCACATGTTACATTGGTAGAAACTGCTGTAAGGAAGATGTTTAATAAGAATACAGAATGTGTATATGCAGGTGAATGAGGACCCAAAAAGAGGGGAATGCAAAAATAATAATTTAGTAATGAAGATGATAAAATTAAAGTACAGGGAAAAACAAACTCAGAAACCAGGAAAACAGACGGACAGAGACAAGCAAAGACAATGGACCAGCAACACATGAGGAGGAGCACAGGTACATTTAGACAGAGACTACAAAACTAAAATGAAACCACAGATAACTATTTTCAAAATAAAAGTAATTAAAAAATAATCCACATTGTGACAGTATGTTGGCACAGTCTAAACATTTACACGATGGTTGAGAAAATTAAAACTCTGTCTTTGTTTTTTTATTTTTTATTATGGACGTCCAATTAGAAAAAGATATTTGCAGCATGACAACATAAATCGGGTAGACCTTTATATGTAAGAATTTAATAACTGTTTAAGAATCAAGGGGAAAACTTCATTGAGAACCAGCTCTTTTTCAGCGCTCATTTTGCTGCAGGAATCAAAAAGTGAATCACAGCTTTATTTAGTAATTCCACTTTGTATCCATCCAAATAATTCTGCCTTTTGCTGCATGCCTGACATTGAGGAAAAACGAAAGGTCTTCAAGGTTTCAGAAAACTTCCTTTCAATAATAGTTTTCATTCACTTCACTTGTCATTGTTACAGCTGCCTTGGGGAAAGAAGAGAGAGTAGAAGCTTCCATTTTAATAACAACAGAAAACACGTCTCAAAATGTAAGCGTTATTTAAGATTAGGTTCTTTATCAGCTCTTTCTCTTGGTGGATAAGAATGAATGTGGACCACAAACACAAATCAATAGCAGATACGTATTTATATGTTTGGCTAAAAACAATAAAACCCTTAAATTAACTGTGAATGTGCAATTAATCTGAAATGAATTGATTAATCGTCACAAAAATGATATTCCTTGGCTTCCTTATAGGCTTTGTTCATGTGACATCACAACATTCAAACGAGCCTATAGTTGAAAATGCAGTAACTGTGTCGAAAGTCAGAGCTCTAGTTTACAGCTATTTTTTCTGTAAAAATAAACTTTCAGGCATAAGAATAAAATGGCAGGTTTGTGGATATCTATCAAAGAATGATCTGTGAAAACCTGTTTCATACTTCCCACTTCAGCTGAGATAGAAGCCTCGAACATGAACACGAACAAATGAAGGTACAGTAGTAATAGACTTATTCAATGTGATGTTTTACAGTGACACTCTGAAAATGAGAATATTATTAAAAAGTCCTTCTAACTTACAATGTCAAACTAATAAATTACAGATTCATCAAATGCTAAATGCAAATGTGTCCAGCCTTATTTGTTATAATGATTATAATTGGCTCACAGCTTGTAAATCATATATATCTCCATCATGTCCTGTAGAATCTAAATCATGTATCGCTTGTCCTTTTTAAGTTGAATTACAGAAATAAATGAACGCTTGAAAGATATTTTGAATTCACGGAGTTCGCAGTGTCATCCAGCCAACTTCAGCTCGACCAATAAAGGAATGCTACATCTCATTGGAAATTCAAGCTCTAATCCAGCCATATTTGTTTTTGATGATATTGAAATAGTCTGTATACAGCACTAATTGGTGAGATCCGTGGAATATGGACGTGTCATAACTCATTTTAGAACCACCCAGAAACACATGTGAATATCAGTGGTGGGAGTTAAATTATTAATTAATTGTTTAAGAAAAAAATCAAAGAAACAGCAGTGAAATTGTATGAAATGATTAGAAAAATTATAAAATAACTATATATTAAAAAACAAAGAATTTTGAAAACAAATGAAAACAGTTTGTAGGATTAATGCTGAAGTCCATCTTATTTTTTATTAAACTTTGTGAATGTTTGAGATTTTTTTCTTCTTTCTGCTCCTTTTTGTCTGACAAGACGACAATTTTTTGAAATGTAATTGTAATGCTGTATGTAATGTATTGTCATGTCCACAATTGAAATAAATACAGTAAATAGCTACATTTTAAGCTCAAATCAACCCAAAGCCTTTGTGGGTCTGGATCCTTTCACAGAGTTTCACCTCTTTGTTGTTATTTCACTATTGACTTCATCTCTGTGTGATTATATGCGTCTTCTGTCTAGTCCTCTACAGACGAGCCCTGTATCCTCGGCCTCCTCTCCTGCTCTCACTCTGGCTCTTTGGTGTCAGCTCAGGCCACAGCTCTGGGCTGGTGCTGTGGCCCGGCGGGTCGTCTCAGCGTGGGGCGGAAAAGGACAAAACCCAGAGCGCTGACTCATGTCTAGAAGCATGAAGAACATGGACAAACAAATCCAATGTGACGGACGCCGGTGAGCCCAGGGAAACGCACTTTCAAACAGTCAGGAGATAAATGCTTTGCCACATGAGCGCTGGTCCTCACACTGTCCTATAAACATACGCGCACACACACACACATACACGTTTATATACACACACGCAGACACACTTCAATCACTGTTAACTTCACATGTTACAGTCAGAGAGGTGGTGTAATTCCTCCGGCTACAGATCGCTTCACTGATGTCTTTGAATATGAAATTAAAATTCTGTCGGGCTCCGATAACACTTTGACATTTTCATAATTGAGCAAAGACAGGGCAATTACTTTAATTTTAATTGAATAGTGTGTCTTGTTTTGACCCGGCCACCTGCTTGTCTGCATAGAGAGAGATGTTATTGACTCAAAGAATCTTCCACAACATATACATTGAATTAGTTTATCGCCATGGAGACAGGCCACCAGGCGAATGCAAAGGTCAGATTTGTGGTGAGAGGAGGCGAGAGGAGCTGTTTTATGTCATGTGGTCATTTTCATGTTTGTGTTATTAGAGATAGACTTAGGGCACAGTTGAACTTGTTGTTTTGGTTCACTTTAACTGGACCAAGGCTGGTTCATGTCGAGAAGAAAAGCTTCACCGATCTGTTTCAAAATTCAAACAGTCTTTTCCCTTGTTTGGTGGTCTTACATCCACAAATAAAACATGTTTTCCGTCCAAGTGAATCAGACCTGGTCCAGTTGAAGTAAACCAGTCCAACAAGTGTGAACATGCAGTTTCGTATTCAGCCACCAGCTAAATTTCTTGGATACTGTAGCATAGACATACAAAAATGATATGACTACAGTTGCAACATTTTTCTCAAAAAAGTAAAATATGTCGTGTATACATAGCTAAAAAACACGTGAGGCCCCGCTTTCACAGTCTGTATTCATACTGAAAATCAAGATCAAGCGAGCTTTTGCCCTTCTGCTCCACGGGAGGTTTCTGTCCTCCCTGAGCTCGCCTTAGGACACCTGCGTTACTGTTTGACAGGTGTACCGCCCCAGTCAAACTCCCCACCTGCCACTGTCCCGGAGCGGAACAATTTTTTAAAGTTCAGAATAGCCCAAATCAAAACAGTTTTACAATGAGGGTGGTAAGCCCCCGGACAAGTCTTGTGGCCATCTCACTCTAAAGTTTGGACACCCCTAACACTTCGTACATTCTAAAAAAAAGAGGATAATAACAAAAGCATGTTTATAATTTCCTTGTGGTTTCTTTTGTTACTCAACAATGTATGTAAATGTACAAGTATGGAATTAAACTCTATCTCCATGGAGAATCTAAATTTTGCTTTTTTGTCTTTGTAACACATTCAGGTGATCCTGCAGAATGTTCCGGTGTCATTTCAATTTCAATTCAGAGTAACTGCATTTAGCCGAAAGAGAAAATGTCTTCTTTACATTGTCAGAGATGCAGGTCTAGTGCCCTCTGCTGTTTGTAAATACAACCGATCATACAAACCACAGAGCCACACATCAGCTGTGAACAAATACAGAATACAGCTTTCAGGATTACTGCAGCCACAATACTGCTGTACAGATGCAGCTGAGCCTTGTGCAGAGAGGCCACAGTGGCAGTATGCACAGGCCTGAGCTCCATGTTCAGAGAAAGTTAAGAACATTCTCCATGGTGATGTTGAAGATAAACAAACAGGACCTGCTACAGTATGTGTCAGGTCTCTGGAGATACAAGCCCATGTGCATACTGTAAACATTGAATGAAAAACAAACAATCAAACAGACAAAACACAATATGGCGACATGTTAGTAAATATGTAAATAATGCATGTTTTTGAAATACAATAACGCAAGTTTTCAGATGAGAAACTTACGAGAATTTGAAAAATAAGTACAATCCTAAATACTGTGGAGACATTTTAGTAAGTAGCTAAGAACACGGTCACACAAACACTCTGTTGCATCCAATCATTGCCCTCTGCCTTCACTCACTAATTACACTGAGAACATTGTGCCTGTTCTTAGTGGTAGGGAAAAATGGAGCACCTGGAGGAAACCTATACACAGACACAGGGAGATCATACAAACTCCACACAGAAAGGCACCCGTCTGGAGGTGGAATAGAACACTGCATATCATTTATACAGAGCTGTTCCTGACATTGTTCATTCACTCCTTATAGACTCTGTTGTCTCCAAATGTGTCCTCTGTTTATCCTTCAATGCCACTATATATATGCAACCCGGAAAATCAGAATATCATCAAAAAATCTGTTAATTTCTGTATTTCAACTTCAAATATAAAACCAATATATGATACGGACTCATACAAGCGGGCGACAGTAGCTCTGTTGGTAGAGCATTGGCCTTAAGGCCAGAAGGTCGTGGGTTCAATTCCCACCTCTGCACCTTCTCCACCAACTCCCACTGATGACTGCTGTCGTTGTGTCCTTGGGCAAGACACTTAACCCCACTTTGCCCAAAGCCCCCACTGAAAGATCAAGGCTATGCTCACACTCAGAGAGCAGCTGTCCTCCTGTGGACTCACCACCTGCAGAGGGTCAGTGAGGGGCTGGTGCTATGAGACTTGGGTGGCATCTCTGACTGCCACCCCCCTGACCCAGAAATGGATTAAAGGGTAGAAAATGGATGGATGGATGGACTCATACAAGCCAATGTCTTCCCAGAGGACGCAACACCAGTTTAGCCCACAGCCGCACCTGTGTTCCCAGAGGTCTCCCATCACAGTACTAACCAGGCCCTGCACCTGCTTAGCCTCTGTGGTCTGACTGGAAGCGCTTCTTAATTTTCACATGTTTCATGGGGGGGGCATGGCGGCTAATGGAAGGGGACAGAGGCTGCACGCCGCTGTGTCTTTGGTGTAACGCAGCGCATATGATTTGATTCAGCAGAATTACAAGCATGAGGTAATACATGACACTCGCGCACAGTGCAGACAACGCAGGGAGGAGGAGGAGGAGGAGGAAGAGGAGGAGGAGGAAGAGGAGGAGGAGGAGGAGGAGGAGACTTGTGCATAGGGTCATGCTTGGTTTGGTGCCAATGCCATCCATGCCACGCCTTAATGACCAATGACCACACGACAAGAGCGCGCAGTGTGACAGAAAAGTTGGAAGTGTGAATGATGGCAGATGGGGAGGGGGGATAAAGTGCCTGGAAAGAGATGAGATGCAAGAGGGACACGTCTATTTCTAGAGAGTTCTAGAGGATCTTTTCAAACACGGATCAAATTTGACCATTTTATTTTGGGGGGAAGAAGGAAAACGTCAGGTGTAAACGCATCCACGCTGTATTCAATCCAAAAAAGAAATTGTGTTATTGTCCTGAGCTTATGTCCACGCACTGCACACACACACACACACACACACACACACACACACACACACACACACATACACACCCATATACACATACATACACAGACACATGCACACTTTCACACACACAGACATACACAGCCACACTTACACACTTACACACATACATACACATACAGTCATGGACATGCGTCTAAAGTCTCATGCACGCACGCACGCACGCACACACAGACACACACACACACACACACACACACACACACACAATCACATACAGGCTCACGTGGTGCGCAAACGGCAATTAAAGGAGAGAAGGTCAGTGAGAAGCGCGCATGGCTCACAAAATGAACGCGCGTCAGGTCCCGAATTGCGCAACAAGTTCATTAGGAGAAGCCAGAGACGCACTGGAGCGTGTCTGCTGGATTTGGGATGAATGCAACAAGATTCCAAGCATGAGAGGTGAGGTGAGCCATGACAGGATCTGAGTGTAATGTCAAAAACAACAACAAAATGTATTACACACAAAAAATAGCAGGCACAGGAAAAGAGGGGGGGGGATTACGTACCGGGAATTGCCAGGTTGGTGAGCGGAATGGTGTGCATGCTGGCCGGTAAACTTGCCATCCAGTCCACAAAGCGCTGATCGACTCTCCCGTGAGACGCGGCCATGCTGCTGGGTGACTGCTCGGCTGTCTGTAACCTGAATGCCTCCCCCCTCCTTCAGGCTGGCGATGCTGCTGCTGCGCTCGGCTCTCTGTGCTGCTCTCGGCTGTGTGCGCCTCGCTCTCCAACGCGCGCACAGAGCATGCACACGAGCCAACACACGAGATTATGGAAATGCGCCCAGTCCAAATATGGCACCGTTTGTATTTGTATTTATTTATTTATTTATTAATAATGATAATAATCCATCGGTTTTTTGTAGCGCTTTTTCAGGCCCTCGAAGACGCTTCACATGTCATTATTCTTTCTACATGTAGCCACCGCTGCCCTGTGGCACACTGAAGCAAGGCAACCTGTATGTGCCATCGACCCCTCCGACCACCACCAACCATTCACACACACACACCAGACTCATTCTAGGCAATGTGGGTGAAGTGTCTTGCCTAAGGACACAATGGCAGCTTGGCACTTTACAGCCGCAGCCGCCCCACTGTAACATCCGGTGTTCCCAGAGGTCTCCCATCACAATACTAACCAGGCCCTGCTCTGCACAGCTTCAGAAGTTTCCTTTAATGAAAATCATGTGAATCTCATTACATTGTTCACATAATGATTATAGTTACAGAATATCTACATGCATGGGAAGGAGCAGAAATACAATTCTTATATTTTTCGGCCCATTTTCAAAAAAACACCTTACTTCATCCAATCTCCTTTTGAACCAGGTACCAGTTTATTTGTCTGTTATATTGCCATATGTAAAAATAAGTATTGTGCAGGTTCGAAATAAATAAATAAACAAGTAAATTCAATAATTCAATATTTTTAAGATATTTTGACAACGTCGTACCAGATTCGTATTAAAAGATGGTTAGACGCCTGTATCCAATAGTGACAACAGTGTGCTGGAGCCTCATGTGCTGCCAAAAGTGTGTGGGAGTAAAAATATATAAATATATAAATACAGCTGAATCGTGATGAATGAAGTTAATTGATTCGACTAATTGCGAAACAACGCCACGCTCGTGTTCGCCTCGTTATGGGATGGAGTCAAAACCGCCCACCGCAGAGTGCCAGACTTTTAGATGTAAAGTAGGAGTGGGCTATAGCGGGAATGATCTTTGCTATTAATGCAAAGATATGTGAAAATTGGATGCCTTTGAGTGGGATGGTGAAGAGGCTCTGTGTAATAAATACACTTAAGAGGAGCTATACAGGCAGTTTGGACGCTACATGTTGTTTTTGGAGTTGGAATACAGAAAAGTGCGAGTTGGTTTTGAATTTATATAGTATAGGAACCTTGAATTTATCTTAAGACATGGAGAGCCAAAGAATAGTGTTCCTGGCAATGTTTAAGTCCAGGTTGGAAACGTCATTTAACGTGAACAGCACTTAACAGCAATTTGTTTGTGTTCCACATGTATTCATGCTGTTTTTAATTCACATTTATGGATCTTGGCTTGAGAAGCACTTTTTTGTTACACTGTAAGAATTGCACGTTATCAAAAAATGTGTAGCAATATGTAAGATTTTCATGTCAAGTCATCACCAAATGGCCCTAATCTGTCAAAAGGCATTAATGAACCATGCTCTTTTCCAATACTTCTTTAACTGATAACAGTAGTTCATCCGGGATGTTTGGATTTCAAAATGAGTTTTACAGCCCCTAAATCTTGTTATTGTTTTCATTTTGATGTCCCGCCCTCCACCACTTTACCAATCAGAAAGTCCATGATCCGGGTTGCCAGAACTCACCACGTCGAGCAAATCTCACTGGTAAAGTAATTTGTGGCCGCAGAACTAAAAGGGTTCGTTATGATTCTCAAATGATTAATGACAAAACAAGGAATAAAACAAGAATGGAGCTGGATTCGTCTGCATATCTGGCAACCTGAGTCAGGCAGAGTGTCACCAATCTTGTATGGAAATATAAATACTGGTTTGAGAATGATCTCTGTTAAATTACTGAAGCTTCCAAGCTTTTGTTACTACAGTGAAAAAATAAAACGTAAATCAAATTTTTGATGATAATTAATGGACAATATATTATGGATGGACTTAGACGATGTAGAAATGTTTCATATGGAGAAGGTAACGATAAATAAACTTGTAGAAGAACTTAGAATACTGCATAAAACCAGGTTTGGCCATGCTTATATGTAAGTATTTTTTAAATGTAAGGAGTACAAACTAAGCGTATTTGGGTTTGAAAGAAAAAAAGTTGCCAGAATTTGTTTTAATAATAAATGACGTACTGTCCTGGAATAACACTCCAAATCCACGCTCGGTGACAATGGGACAGTTTGAACATCTTAATTACACCATGCAGCTGTTCCTCCTGCTCTGCCATATGGACAGAGGTCGACTGGTGCGTCCTTGAGAAAACTTGCAGCTTGAGATGATAAAAAAGCTGTCATTCACTCCTCCAACAGGTCAACTAACATCAGGGAGTGAAGGAAACACATTTGGCTCCAAAAGTTCCAGAGCTGTCAAAGCCTCTCCCAGAGATATAGTCGCCTGTCTGGATGGATGTGTTTCATAATAAGCTCTACACGTTTGAAGGATGGGGAAGTTGCAAAAGCTTCACAGGAAAAGTTGTGGAGGAGTCTTTTAATTTAGTCTTATACATACATTTATTTTATAGTCTACACAAAAGAGTGCACTGGATGAATGTCCTGTAAATGAATGTAGATCAAAGAAAAGTGAAAGTAAACAGTACATTTGTCTGATACTATTCATCAGTCAACCATTAACTTCTCTTTCAAATTCATGAAGTCTCTCCAAGATTCAGATTCAGAAAACCTTGATCCCAAAGGGCTATTCATTTGCAAACACACAGTTCATGCAGCAGCAGGTTACAATATAAGTCGGGGCGACAGTGGCTCAGTTGGTAGAGCATTGGCCTTTGAACCTGAAGATCACCACAAGACTTTCTCCACTGTTGTTGCCTGTCATGTCCTTGGCAAGACACTTAACCTCTGTGAGGAGATGACACAAACTGGTTGCCTCGCTTCTGTCAATGTGTCCCAGGGCAGCTGTGGCTACAGTAGTAGTTTATCACCACGGTGTATGGAGTGAAAGAATAATGACATTTGGAGTGTCTTTGAGTGTCCAAAGAAGGTGTATGGGAGAATTTTCTTCTTCTGGGTGGATCATCCATCACTCCTCCTCAGAGGGTGGTTCTTTCCTAAAATTTTGGAAAATCCTCCTTTACCTTTAAGCTTATGGAGTTAAAAAATACAAATTAATTGTCTTCTGCTGTGACGGATTTACATGAAATGGTAAAACATGGACAGTTTTCCTCATTTCCTTTTCCAGTGAGTGAATATGTCAGTCTTTTATAATAAGAAGGTTTCATACAAGGCCACATAACAGTCGCCGTGAAATGAAGAAAAATGTGCACAGACCACGACAGTGACGTTTGGGGCTCAGACACGACGTCACTCTCATGCTCTGTAATAACTGTTGTATTTATAAATACGTGACATTCTAAAACCATGTGTTTTATGACCTAGCTAACCTCTAAGTGGGAGGCCAGTCCTTATTTTATTTTAGGTGTCTTCTTGTGCCAGCAACTGGACAACAGATGGATTCTCCTGTTTGGATTTCAACCCCCTAGTCTTGGCCTGCTGACTTCTGCACTTTTCAACCTCACTCCATCAGGAGTCTGGCAGACGGAGGAAAAGGCTGGACCCTAGACCGGAAGCTGGCTGATAGGACACTCCCCTCCTTCCTGTTCTTTATATATGCTCTGGCTTGGGGAGACACAGAAGGATCAGCCGAGGGCCAGGAGAGGGACATATTAGTTTTAGGAGCACTCTTTTGTTGAATATCCTGTATCTGATTGTAAAGATAATTAAATGCAGATGTTAAACTTGGAGAATCTTTTTGTCTGATTTCTGTATCAAATTGTGGACACGTCAGTCAAAAGGAATTATTGGCTTCATAACACAAACTTACTATACAGCTGTGCACATTTTTCTTCATTTCACAGTCTTCTTTTATAAACATGTTTTAAAAGAAGTGTTGTTGAGGTAAATCATTTGATGTTATAGATGGAGCCTCACCTCCAAAGATGTGTACAGTACAGTCTTGCTATATCTTTGTTGGATAGGAGTTTTCCACTTTTTTCATTTGAGACACTTGATAAAATAGAGTCACATACTGCCTTTGTTTGTAATCATTTAGAGGATTTTTGGTTTAAGTCAATTTTCAAAATATTCTTATTTACATTTCTTATACTTTTAGTTGTGAGCCAACACTGTGAGGCTGTCATATACTGTACTAGTTCCACATCGTAAGTTGAACCTACAGGTATGGAGGACCGTGGCTGCCAAAACAATAAATATATACAGAAATAAATAAATACATTTCAAATAGATAACATTTGCAAAGAAATGCATGCAATTATGAGAATAAGTGCATTTATTTCTTTATTTTTTATTTATATATTTATTTATTTATTTTTGTATTTATTCATATATTTATTTTAGTATTTATTCATATATTTATTTTTGTATTTATTTATTTATTTCTCTATTTATTTATTTATTTCTGTATATATTGTGTTGGCAGCCACGGTCCTCCATATACAGGAGTAAATAAGCAACATGTTTCAGAAAAGAAGTTGTTTATTTTAGTCGACTAAATTTGGACTAAAACTAAATTAAATCAGATGACTAACGAAATTAGAATTTCTTGTCAAAACTAACACTTCTGTTAAACGTTATTCTGATTTTCTGAGTTGCACCTGTATGACTCGTCTGTGGTTATAGGTCAATAATTCTAATGCACATTGTGGGTCAAAAAAAGATTTGACTGACGTGTTCAAAATTTGGTACAGAAATCAGACAAAGATTCTCCAAGTTTAACATCTGTATTTAATTTATCTTGACAATCAGATACAGAACATTCAAACAAAAGAGAGCTCCTAAAACTATCCATGTCCCTCTCTGACCCTGTGCTCACTGAGCCCCCGCCTCAAGCCAGAGCCAATCAGCAGATGT